ATGGAGTCGACCTCAGGCATCTCCAACAGACCTACAGCTGAGGGTCCTGCTGTTTAGAAGAAAACTAACAACAGAAGGACACCTAGCCAAAACCCATCAGTAGGTCACCATCATCAAAGACCAGAGGCAGATAAAACCACAAAGATGGGGAAGAAGCAGGGCAGAAAAGCTGGAAATTCAAAAATTAAGAGCGCATCGCCCCCTGCAAAGGAGCACAGTCATCACAGCAACGGATCAAAGCAGGATGGAGAATGACTTTGACAAGATGAGAGAAGAAGGCTTCAGTCCATCAAACTTCTCAGAGCTAAAGAAGGAATTTACGTACCCCAGCACAAAGAACTAAAAATCTTGAAAAAAGAGTGGCAGAATTGATGGCTAGAGTAATTAATCAGAGAAGGTCATAAACGAAATGACAGAGATGAAAACCATGACACGAGAAATACGTGACAAATGCACAAGCTTCAGTAATGGACTCGATCAACTGGAAGACAGAGTAATCAGCCGATTGAGGATCAAATGAATGAAATGAAGCTAGAGAGAAACCAAAAGAAATAACGAAGAAAAAAAGAAATGAACAAAGGCCTGCAAAAAGTATGGGATTATGTAAATAGACCAAATCTATGTCTGATTGGGGTGCCTGGAAAGGAGGGGGAAAATGGATCCAAGTGAGGAAACACTCTTCAGGATGAAACATCCAGGAGAACTTCTCCAACCTAGTAGGGCAGGCCAACAATCAATCAGGAAATCACCAGAGAACGCTCACAAAGATACTCCTCGAGAAGAACGAAACTCCAAGACACATAATTTCCGATCACCAAAGTTGAAATGAAGGAAAAGCTTAAGGGCAGCCAGAGAGAAGGTCGGTGCTTACCCACAAAGGGAAGCCCATGCAGACTACACAGCAGATTTCTCAGGGCAGAAACTCTACAAGCCCAGAAGAGAGTGGGGGGCCAATATTCAACTTCTTAAGGAAAAGAATTTTCAACCCAAATTCACATCCAGCAACTACTTTCATAAGTCGAAGGAGAAATAAAATCCTTACGATAGCAAATGCTTAGAGATTTTGGTCACCACTAGGCCTGCCTTACAAAGAGATCCCTGAAGGAATCAGCTAAAACATGGAAAGGAAGCAACCAGTCATTATGCACATGTACCCTAGAACTTAAAGTATAATAATAATAATAATAAAAGAAATGTATTTGTTATATTCTCTATATCATTTTAAAAGTATTTTTGTATAGAAAATTGTTTCACTAACTGGTTATTCATTAGACATATGGGTTTCAAATACAATTTTTAAATAACTAATACAAAATAAAAACAGATTTCAGTTTGGTTAAATCATTTAAATTCTTTCAGAATTACTCTCTTATAAAAAGGATGAAACTCACACTC